TGTTGACAGCAGGATTTTTCATTTTTGTATGTTCAGCTTCCATGTGGGAGTGGAGCAGGTTGGATGAGAGATGTAGGTATGAGGTTAGACAAGAAGGCAGCGCAGAGCAACAGGGAGAGATGCCATGAGAATGGTGCTTTTTTGATCCTGCTGCCTAAACATACTGCCTAGGTGCTTAGGTTCAGAGAGAACAAAAGCCTCACTAATTCCTAGTTCTCTTGTCAAGCTTGAAATAACTCTGTTTTACATCAGAGATTTATTCTTAGCCAGGACACTTCAGTTTTGTAATATTTGAGAAGTTGTAAATTCTCTCTAATAAAAGTTATGGCAACTACTAGGAAAGTCTCCCAGACCTGAAAGCTATTTTTCGGGGGAGTATGGAAAAGGAGCTAGGTTCTGCTGTTGAAGCTCTTGGGTGCTTTTTAACAGACTTGAGAACATGGCACATTGGCTGTGCCTTTACACTGCAATGAATACCCAGCTATCTCAGCTCTTTCGTGTCTTGATCTGGTGATGGTTTTGTAATGCTGCAGTAGATTTTCTCCAGTTGCAGGCAGAGATGTTACTAGCGCAGCGGGAGTTGTTTGCTAATAGGAGTTTGTGCAACGCTGATAATTTCACCTGCTCTAGCTGTTTGAGAGTGGTGTTTTTGGTCGGGTGATTGCTTACCAGGTACAGGTCAATGATACAAAGACTGATCTGAATGCGCTCAATGAATGGTTTGAGGTTAAAAAAAAAAAAAATACTGCAACAACAAAATCAACAGCAAAACCCTTGCTGGTTGAGCATACAACTATAGAACTTAGCAGTGATGCTGTTAAGGCGGCACTAGCCCGGGGCTGGTTATTGACAGTGCCGTATCTGTTGGGTGTTTCATAGCAGGACCAGCCAAGGACAAGCCGTTCCCGTTGCTGATTCAGATTTAGGGACTCTGGCACGAAGCAGAGTTGGGCGCAGCGTTTCCCCGGGAGCAGTGAAGGCCCTGCCTGAGTGAGCTGGAAATGAGCCAGCGTGCTCCAGCCTGCAGCCTCTTCCCATCACAGGGTAGGGAGCAGACCCATTCGTCCTTGATCAGAAGAGCAGTGCTGGAGGGAAGGAAACTGAGGTTTGAATGAAACTGCTAAAAGCAAAAAGCCATCAAATTGTCAGCTGCATAGCTTGGGCTTGCTTTTTGCTGGCTGTTACTTTCTTTCTTAAAGGTGCTACTGCAGAAGAGTTACAGGTGGCTCTGGGTGTGTGGCCAGTGGCTGAGATTGCCCCATCTTCCTCAGAAGACCTTATTTCCACCTTTTTCTGAACTACCTTGTATTTTAACAGCACAGGACAAATTGCCATTAAGGTATCTGCTCTGTGCAGGCAGGTTCTTAAAGCGTCCCCAGGAGAGTCAGCCACTTGTAAGAAATAACATTTGATAGGAAATATGTTGTTTGAGGCAGACATAGGCATAAAAAGAACACCTCCCTGAAGCATTCCTATCATGTGTCTTTTGAAACAGTGATGTAAAACTTGCCAGTTTTGCCTGGGTCAGGGAGGGAGCATTTTGCTATGTTGCAGGGGAGGAAGGGAACCACCTGCATTTGGCTGACTGAGGAGTTTCTGGACAGCCTCATGCTTAGAGGCTCGTTGCTTTGGCAGCTGAGTTCTCCAGAGATTTCTGTACAGAGCACGTTCCTCCTTGGGCCTGCAAGAAGGAGCTAGGAAAGGGTCTTACCTGAAACTGCTGGTCCTGGCAGCTGTGATCTGCTCTGTGCCCTGTGCCACACTGAAGAGTGGGGCCCTCCACGCTGTGTTTCTAGTGCTTCTCCTCACCCCTGGAGCTCGGGCCTTCCTGGGGAGGGGAAGGAGTTGGGCTCCAACAGGGGCAGGAAGGGAGCTGGTGTAGGGTGGGCAATGAACTGCAGCTCTGCCACTCCCCCTGGGCTCCAAAAATCATGCAATTATCCTCAGAAGAGGTAAACGATAAGGAAATTAAGCTGCATATCAGCTCAATTTGTTCTTTCTGGTTTTGAACCATGAAGATATGCAGGCAGGTGGTGATGGGGCTATTTTTGTGACACCTCCATCCCTACGTGGGAAGGTTTGTATTTCTGTTTTTTGCCTGGTCAAGTGTATGGTGCTTGGGACTAGTCTGGAACATGACAGGGGAAGACAAGGGGAAGGATATTCTTTCTCTCATCCACTGCCTTGTCTTGCAGCTTCCCCCCAACTCAACAACATTTTGGTGCTTAGAGTGTCATTATCTTCCTTTGAATCACAAATTGGCCAGAAAACAAAGACTTTGGAATGTCACCAGAGGAAGAGGTGACCCGAACTGAAGAGGCACCACCATATAATGAGCTACCAGATAATGAGAAGCGCTATACCTTATTTACCAATGGGTCCTGTCGCATTGTAGGGAAACATCAGAAGTGGAAGGCTGTTGTGTGGAGCCCCACACATCGGGTCACAGAAGCTGCTGAAGGAGAGGGTGAATCCAGTCAATTTGCAGAGGTGAAATCCATCCAGCTGGCCTTAAGTATCGCTGAGCGAGAAAAATGGCCAGTCCTTTACCTCTACACTGATTCATGGATGGTGGCAAATTCCCAGTGAGAGTGGTTGCAGCAGTGGAAACAGAGTGGCTGGCAGCGTAGAGGCAAACCCATCTGAGCTGCTGAGTTGTGGCAAGATATTGCTGCTCGAATAGAGAACTTGGTTGTGAAAGTGTGCCACGTAGATGCTCATATACCCAAAAATCGAGCAACAGAAGAACATCAAAACAAGCACCAGGTGGACCAGGCTGCAAAGATTAAGGTGGCAAAGATCTGGACTGGCAGCATAAGGGCGAAAAATTTATGGCTCGCTGAGCCCATGATGACTCAGGCCACCAAGGAAGAGACGCAACATATAGATGGGCTCGTGACCGAGAGGTGGACCTAACTATGGACATTATATCACAGGTTATCCATGAATGTGAGACCTGTGCTGCAATCAGGCAGGCCAAGCAGTTAAAACCTCTTTGGTATGGAGGGAGGTGGTTAAAGTATAGATACGGGGAGGCCTGGCAGATTGATTACATCACGCTCCCACAAACTCTGCGTGGTAAGTGTTATGTGCTCACAATGGTAGAAGCAACTACAGGATGGCTGGAAACATATGCTGTGCCCCATGCCACTGCCCGGAACACTATTCTGGGCCTTGAAAAACAAGTCCTGTGGTGGCATGGCACCCCAGATAGAATTGAGTCAGATAATGGTACTCATTTTCGAAATAATCTTATAAACACCTGGGCAAAAGAACATGGCATTGAGTGGATATATCATATCCCCTATCATGCCCTGGCCTCTGGGAAAATTGAGTGGTACAATGGGCTACTAAAGACCATGCTGAGAGCAATGGGAGGCGGAACTTTTAAGCATTGGGACACACATTTAGCAAAGGCCACCTGGTTAGTCAATACTAGAGGATCTGCCAACCAGGCTGGCCCTGCGCAGTCCAACCTTCTGCGTACTGTAGATGGGGATAAAGTCCCAGTAGTGCACCCTAAAAACACGCTGGGGAAGACCGTCTGGGTTATACCTCCTTCAGGTAAAGGTAAGCCCATGCGTGGGATTACCTTTGGCCAAGGACCCGGGTGCACTTGGTGGGTAATGCAGAAGGACGGGGAAGTCCGATGTGTGCCTCAAGGGGACTTAATGTTAGGTGAAAATAGCCAATAAGCTGTATTAGATTAGTTACCACACCACCCTACCAATGCTTTGCTATGGCAAACATGAACGTGGATGAAGTTAGGACTAGTTTCAGCAACTGATGCCCAGCGACTGCTGCAGACTGTGAATACAAACAGCGTCAGATGCATCAGCCACCAGCTCCAACTGCAACAGAGCCTGCATGCCATCCTCCTGCCAGGTCCAAGGACACCTCTGCCCTACCGACTGAGCATCCCTCCTCCTGCCTGAAGGGGCTGTTATGGCAGATGGAACCTGAAGCTATGGACTAAATGAACTCACGATACATCCTGCAGTGATGGACCATGGACTGAGGGAATGGCATCTGTGTGCATATGTCTTTGACCAAGGAAGAGGATAGTAAATAACAAGAATGCATTAGAAATATGGAACGTGAGAATAACGTAAATGATACGGAATAAGGGGTGGATACTGTCCTGGTTCGGGCTGGAATAAAGTTCATGTTTGTTTTGAAGATAATGAAGTTTGTGATAATGAAGTTTGTGTTTGCGATATCTGCATTCTAGAAACAATGCACAAAGTGGGAAACACAGTAGATTAAAATGAGTGACTAGAGCTGTGTTTAACCCTGAAGGCAATTCTCTAGGTTTCTGTCTCTCACTGTTCTCTTGGTCTCCAGTATCCTGCTACTAAACCCGCGCCACTTGGCAGACTCTCAGTGTGCCGACTGCCTCACTAGCCTGTGGACAGATAGCTGCCAGGGGACTATATTAACACCAAGAAGCTTAATTATAACTTTGATCAGCAGCACTATGTTTAAAACTTAATTGGAAACCTAGTATGAATTAGTCAATGTGTTACCTAGTTCCTTGGTTACCTAGCCCTTGGGTAACAACAAAACCAAAATATTCTGCAAGGTAAGTACTGATCTGACAAAAGCATGGGAGTAGGAGCTTAGGTCTGGTAGCCTCATCTATTTTACTTGTGTTTAGACTGACCCTGTGAAGGAGAAATTTTTTTTTTTTTAAACAAACTTTGCTTTGACCTGAGGATACATAGAAGGCTGCATGGATGTTCCTAGAAAGAAAATAGCAAGAAAGAAATCTGTAAAATGGGGAGTGTGACTGGAGAACAGGTAAAATGATACTTTAGGAAGAAGAAAGTCCTACCAAGTACCATACTCAGGATACTGATAGGATAATGACAAAATAACCAGGGTCAAGATTAATTTGTCTCCTCATTCAACCACTGATAAACAAACAGCTTGCTCAGTGACTGCTTTTGCCACCTTTTTTAAAATCCTCTGTGAACTTTCTTCTTTTTTGTTTGTCACAGAGAGCCAACTGTTGCCTGGAAATAACTTCACAAATGAATGCAACATTCCTGGAAACTTCATGTGTAGTAACGGGCGCTGCATCCCAGGGGCCTGGCAGTGTGACGGGCTGCCGGACTGCTTTGATGACAGTGATGAGAAGGAATGCCGTAAGTGACCATTGCTGTGACCTTAACATGCTCAGTATCACAAGGCTAGGCTAGGTAGTGTTACTGGTGTGTTCTCTAGTGTGTGTTAGGTAAGTAACAAAGTTACTGACAATTTCTTAATTTAGCTATTAGAAAAAAATGTACAGCCTTTCTGATTATTTTAGGTCTTTAATGTTCTTCAAATTGTCCGATTTTAATACAGCACTTGGTAGCAGGTACCTAAACCCCTATTCACAGATGGATAAATTGAAACAGACATGATTTATGATTCTTGGGGTGGAAGAGTGGTGCTCTGTGATTTTTAGGGATCCTGCATATCCTGCTTCAGCACACTGGCCTAGTGCTATAAGTTGACCTCCACTACCATCAAGACTAGTTCCTTTCATTTCAAAATTGCTGACTGTATCCTGTTACTTTTGTTCTCTCCTGTCAAAATGTAATTTCTAACCTTTTGAGACTTAATACTAACTTTCTGGAAAACAGACCAAATTGACTAATGATGTTTACATGTTTTAATCCTCCCTACAGAACTCCCAGTTTTAGAGAGCTAAAAGACGTCTGATCTGGTTCTCTTCTGTGATTTCATCTTTTTCTTAGCATTAATGATATTCATTAGTTAATGTTATTCATATGTTATTTCATAGTTAATGTTATTCAGCCATTAGTTAGCATGAAACTTTCTAGCCTACTCATTTTACCCAGACAGCAAAATTATGCTGCAGCATAACACTATGATTTGAAATACAGTTGGGAGTGAAAAAATGCTCAAATTTCATCTGATTGTAGAGCAACTGAGAAACTTCTGAGCAGTTACTGCTTTTTGTCCAACAAGTGTTGCTCCTTTACATATATACTTCATGGAGGTTTTCATGAAACTTAAACTGAATCATAAGAAGCTTACGTTTCCCAGGACAATTCCAAGACATCATTAACTTTGCATGTGTAGCAGAAGGAAGAAAGAATAGCTTCTTCCAAATTAACTGACTAGAAATACCATGTTTTGTTAAGCGCTCTTGCTTTTTTAACTTAATGCTTCTTCTTTAACAACTCCAGTTACCCATCCCTTTTAAAATAAGGGGACTTTAACTCCGCTTGGAAATCTCAGTACGTAGTTCTGCTTTAAACCAGTGAGCTTTTCTCCCTTTCTAAGGCATTATAGGAATCTGTATAAAATATCTGATGCGTTGGAGTCTCTATAAAGCATCAAGCTTGTGTTGCAATGTTGAAGTCAGGTTAATTTTTTTTTTTTTCTTAGATTTTAACATCTTAGGAAAGGATGGACCTGTTGCAAGGGTTGATCATTGTCAGGCAGGTCTGGTTAAACTCTAGCAGAATCTATATTAGTGGGAGCTTTGGCAAGAATAAAAAATGTCCAAACCTGTACCTTTCAGTAAGATGTTCCTGATGCCAATAGCTGTGTGACTCTCAGGTTCCTTATTACCTGGGTCCTGAATATGCTGCTAGCATGACTTTTGGTGTGCTGTTTCTACTTCTTAAAACAAGCTGAATGTTGGCAGTTCTCTGTATTTATGGGATACAGACTAGGAGGTTTTCTGTTTCTAAGGATGTTGTCATCTTATGCCTTGCATGAATTTTGTTTCACCTGGTACAAATAGAAAATCTTAATGAAGATTTTCTTAATGAAGGCTAGGCTGGGTATTTGCCCATAAATCAGTACCAGGAAAATATGCTTTGTGACTCTGTTCAAAAATTCTCTTACCAAAATCAGTTGGATCTAGTGAATTGCAGACAGTTATGAACATAGTAACTGACAATAAAAGATAAATAGCTGAAAAAGGACAAGAATAACTTTTATGAACTGTAATGACAGACTCAAATAAACCTCACTGATCTAGATTATGTTGCAGCTACGAATTTAAGTTTCTGCAGAATTGTCCTTTGTTGGATATTTTTATTTAAATACTTCTGACCCACTTGATTGGCTAACAGTTTTCTGGATGAGCATCCTTCCGATCCTGCCCAAATTAATGGAGACAACTAGACGGTCCTTTCCTCTCCCCATACATCTGCTACCTGATCACCTCCAAAAATGTAAAATTAGCATGGAAAAGAGACAACAAGGAGAGCAAGGATTCATATCTTGTGCTGGTCTGCTGTTAACAGGTCAGATAAGCTGAAACAGAATGGAGATAGTGCTCATTTGAATTTCCAAACAAAAAAATTACTATTCATGCAAACAAGGTTCTGTAAGGCATCCAGAGAGCTTTGAGCTGCCTGTTCTGCGTCTCCATCCTCTCCATTTTAGTAGGCAGCTTTTAATTCTGTGTATACTGCCGTGAGAAACATGTCTAGTGAACCAGCCACGGGGGGAGGGGGGGAGCTGCTGAATATGCCTGGGTAGCTACAGTCTGTGCACCATGGCAGAGACATGGAGCGGGGGAGGCGTCACCGGGAGAAAGACTTACAGCATTACTAAGGGGGCTGGGAAGGCTTTGCTTTGTTGGTTGTTGGCTTACTGTCTCAAGGATGGATGATCCTTCTAACCCAGGAAACATCCCCTGAATCCTGCTAAGCACCTAGCCTTGCTAATAGCTTCAGAGGGACAATTCAGTCACTTATAGATGTGAGTACACACAGACAGTGTGTGTAGCTAAAAAAGTTTGGTTTGCTCTTTTGATGAATTTTGAAAATGGTCCCATTCTTACAGTGTACTGTTATAGTGTTACCAGCCAGTCTTTTACATCAGAAAATAATCAAAATCGGGATGGGCTTATACAGCCCAAATCTGGTGCTAGAGGAGTTCCTAGCTCAAGTTGAGGCATTGAAACGCAGCCCTAGCATCTTGTCTGAGGAGGGCAGAGGAAGAAAACAAATCCACTTGTCTCTTCTCCCCCACCTCCAGTTTGTGTCAGTCTGTAAAGATAGGTTCCTAGGCTCCTTTTGGCGGGAGAGGACTCTGGAGATCATTTGGTCCAGCTGCCTGCTCAGAGCAGGACTAACTTGGATCAGGATTGCTCAGGGACTTGTCTGGTCAAATTTTGCACATTTCCAAGGATGGAGACTCCACAGCCCTACTGGGCACCCGTTCCAGATTTTGAATATGCCCACTGGGAAAATTATTTTTCCTAGTACATTATCAGCTTCCAGTGATAGAAGCTGAACCAAACAATTCTGGAAGATGTGCAGTGCAATTAACATTCAGGTCATCTGGCCTTGGTGAGTGTGAGAGGGGAATGTAGGAGCCCACAAATTATTGTTCTTCACTGCAGAAACAGCAGCTGAAAAGTAAGAACGTTTGACATTCAGAATGTGTGCATGCATCACATCTGGTTGTGTCACTGTACCAGCGTGTGTTGTGTTACTTGTGTCATTCCAGTTTTGCAAGGGCTGGAGTGTGTGTGTGTATAGATATAGGTATAAAACTTTTTAAAATCGTTTTAGGTATAAAACTTTCTTATTTTTGAATTGTTTTAGGCTAAGCTTTATTACCTTCTTCCTATCAGAATAGGGCTCTACTTACTAAAATTTGCAGCAAAGCAATGTGGTGTTGCTTTTTGTTAGCCGAGCTGTTGATAGTGAAGACAAAGCCATAGGAGTTGCATTAGCAGCATGAGACAGCTGAGCTCCCAGTGTGTTACTACTGAGCCATGCTTTAAGATGCTTTGTCTGTGATTCCTCATCAGCTAACTAGTTCACATTGAAAAGCTTTAACCTTGCCTTAAAGTGTTGGGGTGTGAGTAGGAGTTTGGTTACAGGATTCATTTGGTACTGTGGACTGGTATTTCTGTGAAGACAAGTACAATGTGTTTTGGCGTGCCCACTGAGGAATTTTCATGCACACATATATGTGGTTATGTGCAAATTCTTTCCCTCTTTTTTTGGGTTGCCTTACAGTTGAACGTGGATGTCCAACAATATTTTATCAGTTCCACTGGTGTAGCATCTCATCCTATCTGTTCCCCTTCATATAAGAAAACTTGCAACTCATGGTCTGGTTCTCATTTTCTGTGGTCAGTGAGTGAAAAGTGCTGGTCTGAGTGTGAGAAGGAAGTAAGATGCAAAGCAGAATTACCCATACCTTATCCATTCACGTCTTACCTGTTCCTTCTGTCCTTTTGTCCATTTTCCATCTCCTGGTTTGCAGGACCATCTCTGTTAACTATGTCACTTTGTGGGCTTTTTCTTCATCTCCTTCACTTGCCAAAATCCATACCATCTGTCATCTTCCTTGCTTCCTCTGTGCTCTGACTCTGATCAGTTTAACATTTCCCATGCCAGCTGTTTGTATGCTGTTTAGAGCACAGAACACTTCTCAGATTCTTGTCTTCTGTCAGGGTGATGTGAAGACAGAAAAATTTTACCCAGTTTTATCTGGAGGGAGGGTTGAGGAACGGTATAAGAGGGAGGGAATAAGCTGAGACAGTGACTTCTCATTGTTGTAAATAAGAACTGCTTCTCCTTGAAGCACAATATCTCGTTGGCTTTTCCTCCAAGCCACTGATTGAGCTTGGAAAAAAAAAAAAAAGAAAAATTGACCATAGCAGTGGAAATGTTTTCTGAGTATTTCCAGTTCTGTATAGTTTGCATAAGCTGCTATCATTAGTGCATCTCCTGAAATGGAGAACCCTTTTGTAGTTCATTCCCCCTGGCTCTGCTGGTTCTTATCTGTTGGATTGCTCATCAGCCTGTGTAGTCCAATATCTGTCATGCAGGTTTCTTTTAAATGTTAGGCTTTTAACTCCTACTGCTGCTTTTTAGCTGTGTAAATTATAATGGAAGCTGAGGTTCCGCTTGACAAATGCAGAATCTTTACCAGGACTTTCCTGTGAAGCTTATAGGTATTGATTGAGTAGCTCCTAAATCCTGCTCTGGTTGAATACCAGGAAAATATATATATATATATATATATATATATATATATATATATGGGCTTAGTGTTTGCACTGGTTAAGGCAGGACCTGCATGCTGTCAGCCACACTGTTCTCTCTCTGTTGCAAGAAATGGAAGATCAAAAATGGCACAAAATAGAGAATCTAAA